TGACGCAATTGATACGTGTGGTAATCAGCCTTGGTGTCAGATAAATATTTTATAATTTTTCTGTATGTTTCTGGAGTGTCGGGCATTAATTTAGTGTCATTGGTGCGGCTTTGGCATAAATATTTTCCTGAGCCCACTAGGTTATTCAATTGGTGACACATTAACTGAAAGTTTTTAATATTCCTAAGGAATATTGGTGGGGGTTTGGGTTCCCTGGGGGTGGGTGCTGCTTCCATTTCTTCGTTTTGTGTATTTGATAGCACTTGAAATGGGTTCTGAGTGAAAAACGGCGATTCTTCACCAGTCTGAGTTGTCTCATGATTGTTTTGTTGTTGTGAGGTACCAGGTTGGGGATCCACTTCTTCAACAGAGCTCCCTGGTGTGGCTGGTGGAGTATTTCTTTTCGAACGTCTTGTTCTTTTTTTAATAGGAGAACTCATTGTAGTATCGAGGCTTCTGGACCTAGTATTTTTACCCTTGCTCGACATTAGCATATGATAATATCGCATTTCATATTATAAATGATAGGAAAAATTGTTAAATGAGAAGCGATAACAATTTTTTTTTTTTTTTTTTAAGCACGGAAATATATACGCGTGCTTAGAGAGGACTAGTCGGCACAGAACCTCCTCGGACGGAGAGCCAGAGCCCACTGGTGGGATTAGCGATGTTATGGCCGGCCGGTATCAGTAACTAACCAGAGGTCTATTTACACTGTTCACTATTGAGCTGTAAATAAGTGATTACTCACCTTATTCTTTTGTTCAGTAACAAACTTAATTGTTAATATAACAGGTAACACTGTTGTTTCGCATTGAAGTTGAACACTGCCACTATTAATGAAGAATTTTGTAAGAGACGACCTGACGTATGTTTAACTTAGGCTAACGCATCCACTAGTATTAGAAGTTGATTTTATTTATATTTTTTCCCTAATGTTTAATTTGTTTTTATTTTCTCTGAATATTGTATCTTATTTTTCATTTTATTTCAGTGCATTTTAATACTCTTCTATCATTTTATTGTGTTTTCAATATTCGCATATATCTTTTTTCCACTATAATAAATTTTAAACGTTCAAAAGGGGATTTTTATTTTCCATTACTAATTTATTGAAATATTTCTAGTTTTAATATATTATGTGAATGCATTTTTTTTTGTTTTGTTTTACAGGTCTCATTTTTACTCCTTTTATTTTTCCTTCTTTCCCAACATTTAATTTTTCTCGAATTTTCTCACCTTTGAGGAAACTATCCGGGGAAGGGTTTGTGTTTTAATTTTGAAATACCCCTGGCCCCAACACTACAATTTCATTTTAATATCGATATTAGTGATGCAGTGACGCAGGTGCATTCCAACTAGGAATGAATGAAAAGATAAGCCGGTTTAAAAGCCATATAGGGGAACTTGATAAACAAAACCTGATTATCCCTACTAGGTACAGCCCTTCGTATACAGCCAGTGATAAGCATCAGCCTTATCTCGTATTAAACGAAAGCACTAACACAGATTAGGTTATCTGGAAATTATAATATTAAATTAACCTTTAATAATACTTATTACTATTTCAAGCCAAAAGAAATTTACACGCTTTGTAACCTACATGAATTGGAGGACCTTTTTCATATTTTTGTCCGGTGCCAGATTTATGCTCACTTCCGCCAACACTTCCTACCTCATTCCATTAACATGACCAGGGCGAATTATTTGGAATTATTCAAAACTGACAATGAAGTCTTCCTCAAGAACCTGCTTTACTACACGAGACAATGTTGCAGAATGAGATCCTTTATTTTCAATAAATAACGACATTACAGGTAGATTTCCAAAACTTTAAAGTTCATTATTATTATATTATTTAGTTAGTTATAAACTTTGAAGTGTATTTATAGTGCATATCGTGTTAAATTGTATCATTTGCTATTTACTGTTAACATGTTTATATATTACATAATAGTAGGCCCGTGCGAAAAATTCGCACAGCATATTGTTGTCAAATGCCAGATTGATAAGAAAATAAAGTGATGCAACCTATCAAAAGATAGAGAAATCAAATGTTACTTTATCGATAAATATAATCCACAAAGAAAACAAAAATTAATTTAAATCTTCATTTTTGTTTGGAACCAACATGTTTAAAAATTTTAGTAAGCTGTATCTTTGCTAAAAATTGTCCAATTTCAATGATTTTTTTCCTTTTGTAGTGAATTTAGTAATGTTTTATATGACCATGGTTATAATCCAGGGTAAAGTATCTAATTTTTTAGTTATTCGCAAATAAAGTTTGTTTTCTTTCATAACTTGTTTGCCTGAATTTTCGAGGTGATTGGACTATTTTGCCCGCCTGAAGGAGAAGGAAGCCTTCGAAATTAGAGGCTCAATCTTGAGATTTGGTGAAAAATTGACGACGATATGGCTTGCCGATCAAAAACACCATCGATAAATAATATAAACCCCTCCTCTTTCGATCATAAAGACCTCAATTCGACTAAATGAGACATGTATTCAATGACAGTACTACAATTAATTTAAGGTAGTGTGGATGCGAACGCTATGCCTTGCGTTATCTCGAAAATAGTACGTTTGGGCCTTAAAAACGCAGGATATGATAGTTCCGGAGGAACTATCCGGGTCTTGCTGTTCGCATCAAAATCTTCAAGATCCAATTTGTCCCGTATCAATGTACAGACCTACCACCGTTCCTGTATTAAAGCCTAGCAAAATGTTTGTATCGACATTATTTATTTTAGAAATAAAAACAAAAGTGGAGAATACGATACGCTAAGCTTATATTTGGTACAAAACCGATTTCGAGCCTTATTGTAATAATATATGTACGGATTGTATACTATGGTTGTATTTATCTTTATTACTAGTGCTGTTTATTAATATTTGTCATTTTATTGTTAGCTATATTCAGATGTATTATTTTGAATTGTTGTATTATGTGGGGTATTATATTATATTTCATTGTTTATATTTAGGCATACAGTCAGATGCTTGGTTGTTATCAATAGAGGATGTTGTTTAATCCTAATGAATTTTAGTTTGTATATTTGTCAATGTTTTTGATATTAATTTGTTCATTATAGCCAATTCTATTTGTATGGGGCATTTCCAGAAAACAAATAAATACAATTATTATTATTATTTGTAACTAACAAAACCCTACACCATGACCTTAATATCCATTTGTCCTAGACCTTATTCCAGCAAAATTCTCCAAATTTCACCAGAACCTTACCTATCATCCAAATCCCCTTGCACAATCCCTGTCCAGCACTACCCATCCTTTCAATCCTCCTCGAAGATTGAAGCGGCAGTGGCCCAAAGACCTTCTGTGAATAAGCATATATTGAAGTCTTGGCAATGGCCAGATCCTCCACTCAAGCCAAGTATGTGTGATTAGTTATTTTGTTTATATACATTTATTTTTATTATTATTAGTTTCTGTATTATTTACTGTAAATATAGTGTGAGTGTGCTCTCTGAACAATATTATAAATGTCCTTGATGTGACAGAATGTAATATTTCTGAATAAACAAATATAAAAAAAATATATAAAAAGAACTATTATTATTATTATTATTATTATATTAGTGATTTCCAATTTATATTAATATCGATATCACAACAACCATAGTTGTGGTCTACTTTACACACTGATCGGAGATCTTTGAAATACCGAGCTTAATTTGATAACATTCCTCGAGTTCCACCTACTTTTGTATATATATATATATATATATATATAATGTTTGTGTGTGTGTGATTAAATACCAGCTGGTTTATTTCGTGCATGGAGGTGGTTATCGTATTAAAGGATCGCCATGTTCCATATTACCCCAGCGACCCGTCGGTACGCGGCTCAAAGCCTCTATTAATTAACTCAAGATCAATGTTTGCAAGAGGGCTCACTCAGGCTGCGCCATGTAAACACCGAGGTCAGCGATTGATGCTTATGCGTAATGATATTGCTGTGTATCCAGGATGCTGTTTGGAAGTTATAGAATACTAGCTGATGTACCCGTCGTTTACGGGTGTAGAGTTAAAATTTGAGAATCTTTTTTTGAGGGGAATTTTGTATTATGGGGAGAGTAGAATCCAAATTTCATAAAATTGGGTCGAGAAGGAAGAGGGGGGTTGTTTTGAAATGTTTTATGCCGGGACTTATGGAAGTCATGGTTTCGCAATAGCCATAACATAAACTTTATCCGGCTATTTTTTTAGGTACCACACAACTAAACCGACCACCACTAATCCATTAAAATTTGTTAAGTGTAAAATTTTTATATTTCTTGTTGGTACACCGAGTTGAAGTACCTATCCTACCTATCCCCGACAGAAATTCATTTTTGGTGTTTTTCCTTTTCAAGTCCTCAGAAGCAAAATCTATCCCTACATCTTAGAACTTACTTTACGCTCCTCTATCCACTTTCTTAATACCAGATCTCAACCTATAGATTTATATACCCGCTCCCATAAAACCACATCGTGCTACCTCCATATGGAATTCCTTATCCATCAAGGCAGGACTCCAGGATATCCCAGTGCTTTTTTCTCAGCAGCGTCACTGCTATAGTAAACCAGTGGAGACTGATGGAGGGCACTAGATAATGCGCCCACTAAATCAATTTCTTTTACATTCGTTAATCAATTTATCATTCCTAAACTATTACTTTTATACTTGGTATCTCGTAATCATCTTTGTATGGTATTTAATTGTTTTAAATGAATATTTCATGCCATCTATAATTTTCATTTCCACTTTCCTGAATATGAAAACACCTAAAATATTAAAATCTTTCTACGGTAGTGTGGTGAATGAAAGTTTTGTGATATATATATATGGTTTATTATACTTGATTCAATTTGAAAACTTTTTCGCAAGTAAATATCGATCCTTGCTCATGTAATGTTATTCCGCTAGCGAAAGAGCCTTAGATATCCTTCTTATCAGTTCTTATCATTCTTCTCTGAAACCGTATCCTCTCCCATCCTACTCAACCCTATTTCGTCTAATCGTATTCTTCAGTTGTTCCGAATGGGGGAAGTGGATTTCGCTACTCCTCTGTCGTTCTCTGTTATGTTCTTTGCCCAACAAACCGTCTGTCGCCAAACAAAATGTTATCTCGAGTTTAGGAAACGTGTTTAGTTCCCTAGATTCCAGTTAAGCTGCCTAAACATCATCTTGGTCGATAAGCGGAGACCATTTTGTCGAACCGAATGGCGGACTCTCGAGGAAAATTCGAAAGAATACTTAAACGCCTGATAAATTGCTGGGTCATGAGTGTATGTGGCTGAAGCAATGACGCGTTTGAGAGAGAAGTGCAGGGATCTCCTGGAATCATGCTTTTCCCACCACAGTTGGAGGGACAAGTCTGGTTGGATGTATATATATTATTTTTCTGTATAATTTATATCATTTTTTGTACATAGAGTGTGAATGTTATCTCTGAACACTATTATAAATGTCCTTTGAGACAGATTTCAAAAAAAAAAATATATATAAATTGCTCAATATGTTTTGTTTTTGAAATCTCAAGAGATACGCATATAACTGAGTATTACGCCGTGTTGAAGTGGATCTATCCATCCAACCGCCGTCCGTACTTCCTTGCTACCTTTCTATACCAAGCCATCAGAACTCAGCGACTCATATTACCGACCTTTATCCTCGTCCTCACCAAACGACTAAGTTTGGCAAATCCTTACCTTTTCTCTCTCTCTCTCTCTCTCTGTCTGTCTCTCTCTCTCTCTCTCTCTCTCTCTCTCTCTCTCTCTGTCTCTCTCTCTCTCTCTCTCTCTCTCTCTCTCTCTCTCTCTCTCTCTCTTTTTTTTTTTTTTTCCTTCTTTCCCCCGTTGTACCTTAGGGCAACCCTATACCAGCGGTACATCCAATTTTCTAACTGAAAAATATGCCACGAATTTAAAGGGCTCGGTTACCAGGATTGGTAACCAAGCGGGCAGGTCTGCTCTCACTTTGATCCAAATTCTTGGGTCAAAGTGAGGCAAAATTCGGTCTTTTAGTTTGATTGGGGCATTAATTATTACGGGTAAACCTACACTAATGGGCTGCCTGCAACTGGAGGGCTGTTCCCACCAAACAGGACTCCAGTAACTTCCTACCTACTTATTGTGGGCCTATTACTAAGTTTATATATACTGTTTCTAAATCTTATGATAACAATAAATTTATGTATTTGGTATATCACCGGTTTAATCTTTCCTCTCTTGCTATTTTTTCATGGAATATCCTCCTGGCGTATTTCTTAAAGGCATCAAATATCTCAGGTGTCTCCACAAGCTTGTCCAGGGACCGAGGAGGCCATTCCAACATGGAGTACTCTCCTGCCAATGCTTGTCGGGCGCCAGTGTACATTGGACATTCCAAAATCATGTGTCTAGCATCCTCAACAGCCCCGCAGTGACAATTCGGACTGGCTCTTCTATGAAAAAAATGTAATTTTTCATTTATATCTCCATGGCCTGTGAGGAGTTGAACAGTCCAGAAATCCGTCTCGACCCAGTCATTCTTGATTCTTCTCCTGACATCTGGGAAGAACTCATGGGTCAGTCTTCCAGTCTCGCATGCATCCCACCTTCTCTGCCATTCAGAAAGGACTAGTTCTTCTATTCTGTCGGCTACCTCGTCGTACCTTCCACTAGGGCACACAAAACAGCTTGTTCCCACATTTGCTGGCACTCCTCTCTTTATTCTATATTTGGCTATAGATATTTGTATTTTCAGGTCTATAGGCAGTTGTCCTGTAATCACTTGCAAAGCCGAAGTGGGTGCCGTTCTATACGCTCCTGTCACCAGTAGGAGAGATCTTCTTTGAGCTTGCTCCAGCACTCTGATGTCTGACTGTCTCAGTTTCTGGCCCCAGACCGGCGCCGCATATAATGCAATAGGCAAGAAAGAAGCCTTATATAGCGTTTCCCGGTAACTATATTTGAGACCCCAGGTGGTCCCTGCCATCGTTTTAAGGCAACTGTAACGGACAATAGTTTTGCTCTTAATTTCTTTTAGGTGGTTAGTGAAGTTACACCTCTCGCCCAATAGGACTCCTAAGAACTTCACTTCCTGAGATGGTTTTATTAGGACATCTCCTAACTTTACTCTGGGGAGAAACCCTACCATTTTTCCCTTCAACAACAGGAGTCGAGTCTTCTGAAAATTTAAAGAGAGTTTATTTTCTCGGCACCATTGCAAGACTATGTCAGTGACTTCCGCTGCCCTTATTTCCAAATCATTTCGTGATATTGCCTCTATTCCAACAGCAAAGTCGTCCACGTAAGCAGATGGCGTATAACCGGCAGCTCTCAATTTAACAAGGAGAGGGTTCATGTTGATATTCCATAGGGGGAGTCCCAAAACTGATCCCTGAGCACAACCCCTCTGGACTGGCCTCGTTATTCTCCTTCCCGGAAGTTGATAGTAGACAGAGCGCTTCGATAAAAATGATAATATGAGCCTGTATATATTTCTGGGGCATTTTAGTTTCTTTAGCTCGTCCATAATAGCAGGCCACCACATATTATCGAACGCGCCAGCAACATCATAGAAGAGGACTACAAAATATTTAGAGGGCGAGTCCTTAGCTGTTGATATGAGCTGGTTGATGGCATCCGTTGTTGACTGTCCTTTTCGACCTCCGAATTGATCAGGAGAGAGCAACTCGATTACGTCTTTTAGGCGTTGCAGCATTAGGCTTTCCAGAACTTTCCCCAATACATTTACGAGGCAAATTGGGCGGTAAGATTTAGCAGTGACTTCTGTTATACCGGGCTTCAAGATAGTAACCAGCTCAGCCTGTTTCCAGATACAGGGGAAAATGCCTTTATTCAAGCATCGGTTGTAGAACGTAGTTAAAGGCTTAATCAGTGCGTTTTTTGTATTTCTAAGGATATCGGCTCCTATCATATCCGGTCCTGGTGCCTTTCCCGATCGGAGTTGTCCCATAGCCAACCCCACGTCTTCCTCTTCCCATGGAAGCGCATCGTCGGTTTGCGGAAGTTCACACATTGTAATTCTTTTGTGAGCATGGTCTTCTGTGTCTGAAGTTAGTTCGTCTTCAGGGAAAGATCTCAACATTATAGCATTAACAACCTCATCTGCCGTTCTGGTTGCATCCCCATTGTGCATAGACGATGTGAAGGAGCTTCTATTTGAGATTTTATCAAGGGCTCTTCGATAGGCTAGTCCCCAAGGGCTTTTGCATTGGTCTAGGTATCAGTGCCATGTCTCTTTCTTTGCTTTTCCTATTGCCTTTTGGAAACTCTTATTAAGTTCGTAATATGCTTTTTTGACATTTCTTTTGATAACAGCATCATTTTCTCGCTGAAATGGGCGTCTTGCTCTGTAGGTCTCCCGCTTCAGGCTTGTGAGTTGTGTATTCCACCATACTTTTCCCTTTCTTATTGACTCTCGTGTTATGGGCAACACCTCCTTAAACGCTGTGAAAATTTCTGTTGAGATTGTCGCTGCCTCTTTTTCTAATTCCATATGATGGTGTTGCTCCATCTCTGTTAGGTGCCATGCAGTATTCTCAGCAACACGTTCCCACTCAGCTCCATCTGTCACAAAACGTTCCTTATGGTATCGCTTTTCTCGATTGTTTAGGTTTATTTCAAATAAAACCACCCGGTGATCACTGCAGGTCCGATCCTCGACTTTCCAAAAGCTAATAAGCTGGCCAATGCCAGGTGATGCCAGAGTTATATCGATAAATGATTCTCCGCTTGATCCCGAAAACGTTTTCAAGGCCGTGGGATCATTTACAATGGTTAGGCCATTCCTTGCAGCAAAATCCTCCAGCAGTACGCCTTTTCTATCGATTCTTCGGCTGCCCCACAAAATTGAGAGAGCATTAAAATCTCCCATTATTAAGATGTTCCTACTCAGCTTCCGTATTACCAGCTGCAATTTTGTCAGTATGTCTTCCAGTGGGAATGCGAATTTTGCATAAACATTGATCAAGTCAAAGTTAATGCCTACGTAATCTACATTGGCAACTGAAATAAATCTATCTTCCAGATCAGGCTGTGATGTAATTGTAAGGCAATGATTAAACACCACCACTGCACTCTGTGGTGCATCGTGTAACCCACTTCCATTGCTAGCAATGGTGCGGTCTTGCGGTTCAGTTCCAGACACCTTCCCTCTCCTAGTAGGAGGTTCCTGAAGAGCACCAATATCTATGTTATTTAGTGAGGCCATGCGTCTAAATTCTGACATTGCGAGCGGTCTCTTGTTTAGATTGTGTTGGGCTATCCGGAGGGCAGAATTATTATTCATTGTCGTTATATTTTGTCCTCATTACTAACCTTTCAATTGCTCTTTTGTATGATGGGCAGTCTTTGTCGTTTGTCGGATGGTTAGATGCTGAGTTGGTTTTACAGCAGTTTATGCATTTCGGCGGTCCGCCGGTCTTTTGTTTTGGGCAGTCTCCTGAAACATGTCCTCTTTCGCTACAGTAGCCGCAGTTTACGACAGTTGCGGGGCAGAATTTTTCTATATGTGAAAAACCCTGGCATTTATTGCATCGTGTCACTGCCACCCAGTATCTCACATTGCAGGATGACCAATCCAGGAAAACTCTTCCCTCTGCCAATATTTCATTTCTCACCGCCGGAGACACTTCCGCCACCCAATGAACTGTATCTCTTCCTCTTGGACCTGTCTTGAAAACAAGGCTGAAGTGCTGCTTATTAGGATCTAATTTTTTTGCATTTATGGTCCAGAACAGTTCGACAATCTTTTCTTGCTCCAGGTCACTTGGGACATCATATATAATTATTCTTGGAAGGCGTTTATTCTCCAAGTTTACTTTAGCGCCGAGTTCTTTTATTCTCTCCGACTGAGCGAGCCTCTTAGCTTCTTCTTTTGTTTGAGTCCTAATTATTACACCCCTTGTTGTTTCTACCAGTCCTCTAATTTTTATTCCTTCTTTAGCAGGCGTGAAACTTTTCTTTATCCCCTGTTTCAATTCCTGTACAGTGGGATATTTTTCCCTGCTTAGGTCTGTCTGGGCTATGTACACTGAACTCGGAGTTTCAATAGGAGTTTCCTGTCTTTTCCCAACTAATGTAGAGGCATAAGATTGTTTTTTCCTGGTATCGACCTTTTCAGTGACGAGAGGCTTAACCTCCTCATTTATTATGTCCTTCATTGCTACCTTTAATGTCTCTAGACCATGCGTTTCGAATGTAACAGGTGTAGGGCAGAAGGCTTGGTTTCTTAATACTCTTATTTCGCCGTTTAATTCTGCATTTTCAATTATGAGCTTATTACAGTTATCCTCCAGTTTACGTGCCGCCGCAAGAACCGTCTCAACTGCCGTCTTGCTTATTTGTTTTGCTTGGGCATTCAGTAAAAATTCTTGCAGTTTTAATATTATTCGGCTGTGTATTATTCTTTCCCTCTCTCCCTCTCTCCCTCTCTCCCTCTCTCCCTCTCTCCCTCTCTCCCTCTCCCTCTCCCTCTCCCTCTCCCTCTCCGTCTCCCTCTCCATCTCCCTCTCTCTCCCTCTCTCCCTCTCCCCCTCTCTCCCTCTCACCCTCTCTCCCTCTCTCCCTCTCTCCCTCTCTCCCTCTCTCCCTCTCTCTCTCTCTCTCTCTCTCTCCCTCTCTCCCTCTCTCCCTCTCTCCCTCTCTCCCTCTCTCCCTCTCACCCTCTCGCTCTCTCTCTCTCTCTGCCGTTTACCCTGTGCTTGTAATTTATTGTAACGGGACAACAATCCTAGAATTTTTATTTATCTATTAGATATACATATTTCTGGCTCACAATAAATTTGCCATCTACATTGGTATTCAGCAAATATGATATCAAGGACAAGAAATGATAGCATAAGAAAAAAAAATAATAGTAATAACAAAACAGAAAGACAAAAAAAAATAAAAGAAAAAAAAAGAACAGTAGTAAAATAACACATACATATTAACAGAATAACACACAAAAAAAGAAAAGACAATGCAGCAAGTAGCTCAATGCAATAAGTCTCTTGGCCAGCGCCTCAGCAGTCTTCTGGGTGGATTATATGGATTTGTGGCAGTAGATAGAGCTTGAGTAAGTGGATTGGAATTTAGAGTCAGTCTGTCATGAGTGTTAAGGTCAGTGTGTAACGTGAGGTTTGAAACATAAAAGGGTGCGTCTACAATTTTCCGAAGGACTTTTGACTGGAATGACTGAATGATTTTTATATTTCACTTCTTTGCTGTTCCCCATAGTTCAGTTCCATATGTCCAAAGTGGTTTAATGAGTACTTTGTAAATACTTAGTTTATTAGTCACAGATAATTTAGAACGTCTGTCAAGTAGCCTAGAAAGAAGTCCGTATCGCTGATTAAGTTCTTTTCTTTTTTGTTTTATGTGGTATGTCCATGTCAGTCGTTCGTCCAAGTAGAGGCCCAAATATCGTACAGTTTTTGAAGGTGGTAGAGCGATATTATTAAAGAACACTGGAGGACAAGAGTCATGTTTAAGTGTAAATGAAACAAATTGGCTCTTAGACTCGTTCATTTTTATTCTCCACCTTTTAGCCCAACAAGCTATGTCGTCTAGGTGTTCTTGAAGTACCTGAGAAGCCTTAGATGCATTCTTGTTATATGTTAATATTGCCGAGTCATCAGCAAATGTAGCCAACAGTGTTTCAGAATGTTGTGGGATGTCTGAACAGTAAATGTTGAAAAGTGTTGGACCCAAGACACTGCCTTGAGGTACTCCAGCTTTTATTTGTTTGATGGCAGAAAACTGAGTCCCCATTTTCACACGGAAAAATCTATCTTTTAGATATGATAGTAAAATTAAGTAATAAGTCGGAGGAATGATCGTTTTTAATTTATGTAACAAACCATCGTGCCATATTCTATCAAAAGCCTGACTCATGTCAAGAAAAACGCCAGAACAGTACAATTTTGATTCTAGCGAGAAAGATATGTAATCTACAAGGCGGTAACATTGCTGAATAGTGGAATGATGCTGTTTGAACCCGTAATGGAAATTGTGAATGACATCAAATAGTCTAAGTGAATTTAAACGCCGAAACAGAATTTTTTCGAATACTTTAGATAGAGATGGTAGAAGACTAATAGGGCGGTAAGAATCAGGACGGCCTATAGGTGTATTGGGATTGTGAATCATAGTTATGATTGAGTATTTCCATAAAATCGGAAAATGTGTCGTTCTAAGAATGAACATGTTTGTTAAGAATAAAATGGCCTTTTTTGGTAAATTCTTTAGGATATAGTTCGTAATGATATCGAACCCTGGAGATTTACGATTAGGTAAACTATTTATAATAATGCTAACTTCATTTTGATGAAAAGGTTTAGGCGGGAGGGTCACCTCTAAAGGAATATTTAATTGATGTTCTACCAATTTTGCACTGCGCGAATCTATAAAGGCTAATCTGTAAAAATCTTTACACAGACAGACAAAAATTTATCACCGATTTAATTTTAACTTTGTCATCATTTAAAGTACTAATAATTTTGGTACGAGTTCCAATTCGGGTAGAATTAATACGTAATAAGGGCACTCCTGGAGAATGTGGCTGACTGTGAGAGTACCGTAGCAATGTTGTCACTTTTGTGCAGGCAGTTTCCTTATCAAATAGTAATGTGTCAGGTTTGTATGTCCCATCCTATCCTTAGACTAGTTATGGCAATTTCCTATCTACGAATAGGGCGGTTCGAAGTGGACCATGGTTTCATTGATCTTCTTATTTCCTTCAATTTGCGCAATGGCTTCTCATTCCAAATGGATTTTACAACTAGTAATTAGGTTAAGTGGGCGGGGTAGCCGAATGGGCTAAAGCGTGTGCACTGCACCGCCGTTGCCTGGCAACCTGACATATGAATTATAATAAAAGATATAAAAATAGGCACGAGTTCGCGTCCCGGTGCCGGAGGAGTCTTTTAAATCCCCGCCCACACTCCCTGGCCCGGGAAAATCCCGTATAGCCTTAACGGCGAGGAAGGGAAGGACCCAAAAAAAAAAAAAAAAAAAAAAAAAAAAAAAAAAAAAAAAAAAAAAAAAAAAAAAAAAAAAAAAAAAAAAAAAACTAGTAATTAGGCCTATTATTCTACTATAATTGATATCTTAAGTTTTATATATATATATATATATATAATAATTATGAATCATTTCCGTTTCTGGAACTCCCTAACCCGCCTAAGAAAAGAGGATAACCATATACATAACACTGTGTAATCATTTTTAGAAATCCTTCGTATACTTAAAGTGAAACTGTGAGAGCAGAATGTTAAGATATTAGGTGGAAATACTGATTATGCCGGAAGCTTTTAGCCGCAGCGGGGAATATTTCAACTACTATAATGGCCGTGGTTGATTAACCGACAAACGTGTTGCCATTTTTCAACAACCGCTGTTGCTGTTGCTGTTTAATCAACAAAGAGCCCCCCAGATCCCTTCAACAATCATCCGTCATGGCTAAAAGCCTTTGCTAGACTGCTTAGCGGAGTGTTTTGTTGATAGTCCCCGCATCAACCCTGCCTTGGAGTAAACAAGAGGATAAAGTCAATCACTTAAATATAATCGAACACTAGCAAGATTAATTGTTTCTGTTATTAACACAGCACACACACAGCAAAGTACGTATATAGTAGAGTTCGGGAGAGTTTGTATACGTATAAATGTGAATAAATATAAATAAATATACCTGTAGATATATTTATTTATTTTATTAAAAAATTTCACAAATTATAAAAAAGCAAATAAATGTTTTATTAAACAATAACTATTACTTTATTTGTCACTTCTTGTAATTTATTAATTATATTTATTCATAACACTAGCTGTTATGAAGTCTTTTAAGCAGCAAAATTAAGCAAAGTTCGGTTGTTTTTTTTTTTTTTTTAACTTTTATTATGATATTTACAACTGTATTAGTATGAATACATCAAGTAAATGTGTACATAGGAATATAATCACATGAAACACGCTTGTTGAGAAACCACCCATTGGTAGCACTCTAATAATTTGTCTACATGAGAGATCACGAGGCCATCTTCTTTTCAGACGCCTCGGAGGGTTATCAGGAATCGAATAGGAAGCAAAGTTAGAAACAAGAGGATTCGGATGGTTATGAAGTTTATTACGGAAGGATAGGTATCTGGATTTGGCCAAATCGGAAACATATGGAACATTGAGGTCTTTATGGATTATTTTATTTGTGACAAAGTAAGGAGCATTGAGGATTTTACGAAGGATTTTGGATTGTAAAGATTGGATACGAGAGGAATTTGATGGTTTAGTGGAGCCCCACAGCTCAACTCCATAAGTCCAAATAGGTCTTATTATAGTCATGTATATGAGTCGTTTGTAATTCATTGAAAGTTTAGAGCGTTTGTCCAGTAAGTGTTGGAGTAAGCGGAAACGTCGAGCAGTTTCTTGTCGTTTCAGTCTTGTATGAGGATTCCAAGTGAGACGTTTGTCCAGCTGGAGTCCTAGGTATCGTATTTGTTCTACAGGGATAAGTGGGGTGTTATTAAAGGATACTGTAAGGCAGCAAGTCATTGGCTTACGACGAAGGGTAAAGGTGATTTGATGGGATGTACTGGAACTTATTTTAATCCTCCAGTTTTGACACCATTCTTCAAGGTTTGTGATGTGCGATTGAAAAGTTTGGGATGCAATTGTTGGATCATTATTAACTGACAGGATACATGTGTCATCAGCATACGTAGTGATGACAGTGTGGGATGGGTTGGGATATCAGCTGTGTAAACTGTGTAATGGATAGGACCAAGGATACTACCTTGAAGAACTCCGGCAGATTGAGAAAAGAGGGATGAATAGGTATTATTGTGATTTACTTTGAAGTGTCTATCAGTAAGATGTCGGTTTTAAAAAAAAAATCATTTATTATTCACTATATTTTTTTTTTATCATCATCTAACTTCACAACAGATTATCCACTTTTAGAAAACTTCCTCGCTTAATAAAATTTATGTCAACATTAATTATGTTGAGGTTTATTAGGCAAAACCTTGAGATTCCCCTCTGGTTGTAGAAAAAAATTATCTGATTTTTCTATCCTCTTACCTAAAAGTACACATGTTTTTAGGAAAAATGACTTCAGAGCTCTTATTTCATGTTTTTCCATTATCTGAGATGCATTATAATAAACATATTGTAGTTTTTGTAAGTGGATCTTTTTTGTTGAACCGTATATCTGCGAGGCGTATGTCCAAATGGGTTTGAGCAGGTAAGTGTACGTATTTAGTTTTTGTTCAAATTTTCAGTTTCGATTTAGAAAACACGGAGTATAGTATTTTCAGTCGCTTGTTTAAGGTCTGTCGGTCATCCTTCTGTCGAATATTAGTACCAGGTAACGTACTGTGTTTGTCTGAGGAATTTGGTTCTCTCCTATATTAAATGGTGGCCACGTTTCTCGTCGAAGTGTAAATGTTATATGCTGTGAGTTGTCATGATTCAATCTTATTTTCCAAAGTGAGTACCAATTTTGTAAAGTTAGTAAATGATTTTGTAAATTTATTGAGCCTGGGGTTATGGTGTTTTGTTAAAATTGTTCTATCATCAGCATAGGTGGCGGTCATTGTTTTGGAGTTGATAGGTATGTCATGCGTATATATAGTGTATATATAATGTATATATAATGTATATATAATATTAAATACAAAAATAAAAGTAAATTCAAATAACTCCAATGAGTTCAACTTAGGCAACATTCGACATTATTACCTTATTCCTTAGACGAACACATATGGACAAACGCTTCACAGATTTACAGTTCAGCATAAAAGAAACACTTAAAACAACTTCAACCTTTACAATCCAAACTTTTAAGACTAATAACACCAGTTCCCTGGCATGTAAACAATAAAACTTTATACACCGACTCGTAAATCGCACGAACAACACATACGTACTCATCACTCCCGATTTCATTTAAAACTACACGGATACAACAATGGACTTAAAAACGATAATGCCACGGCCGCCATCAGAAATATCGTTTCTTAAATTAAGGAAAATAATAAATATTAGGAAATTACTCCTGGTCATAATCTTACTTCTTACCTAAAATGGCATTATTACCAACAAAATTAAATCTGCGAATTGTCGAATTCATCAGGTATGAAGTTAAGATTAGAAAAAAGTTTAAAACTTAAGGAATTGATGATTGATGATCCTTAACTTTAAAAAGTTAAGGTTGTGATGATGAGAACCACTGTGAATGTTATAAACTAAGATATTAGTTTAAACGAAACAATCATTAATTTTATTTGATCTATGTTAGAAGTTGGGATTAAATTTTAAAACTCACGCACGCTTTACAGACTCTACATCATCGCCAGGCAAAACTACGTGACTGGTGAAAGTTCGAAAACTCGATTCAACCACGACAAATCCCCATGCTTTGACTCTTCGACATTGCATAACTTAAATGTACACTTAAGACAAATCCTATTTCGCCAACGAATTCCCGTACAAATTAAAAATATATTCTTTGAACGAACAGTAACGTGAAAATTAAGTTAATTGTAATCAAAATACATATTCCTTTAGGTTCGTATTTCTGGCCATGAACATCAGGATTCGCGTTGGTTCCTAGTTTTTATAAAATTCATTAAAATTAATTCATATTTTGTATTGTTTATTTTGGGATAGTCTAAAAGGCAGTGTGATGATACATGTTAAGATTGTAATGTGATAATTATTTTTTTTTATCTTTAATGCTTCATCTGCTTTTGCAATGAAAGTGATAATCAGCAGAAGTGATAATGGCATTGTAGCCATGAGTTAGTATATTGCCCAGCAGCACTTCTTACTAGTCTTTATTTGCTTCCGTAATTCAGAGAAGAGATCTCTCACCCAGCTCCTCTTTAGTCGCCTGCTGAATAGAATGTCGATAGTTATAGGTATCAAGTCAGTATGTAAAGTTTTGTTGTTTATGTACCAGGGAGCTGCTATTAATCTTTTATTTTTTTTTTATTTATGATATTTACAACTGTATTAATATTTATTTATTTATTTTTCATTAAATTTGTCACTGCGTTGTAGCACATCAATCAAATGTGTTGAAGTTTATTCTGTCTTCTTCAATTCTTGATATTTTTAACTTTTCAGCAGAAGATCTCTAGGCTACTGCCTTTTTCGTCGTCTTTGAGGCTCACCAGATAACAGGAAGGAAGATAGAGATAGAACGTGTGGATTAGGATGGTTTAGAGTAGAAAAATGAAATGTTGTGTACTTGTTGTGTATGTAGGATTTTACTTTTGGTATTTTCATGTCTGTGTGTATGGTGTGATATGAAATAAACCAAGGAACTGTATTAATATAAATACATAAAGTAAATGTGAACACAGAAATATAATCACATGAAAACGCTTGTTCAGAAACTACCCACTAATAATATGTCTACAAAAGATCACGAAGCCATCTTTTATTCAGACGCCTCAAACGATAAAAGAGGAAGCAATGTTAGAAACGAAAAGATTAGAATGGTTCTGAAGTTATGGAAGGATAGGTACCTGCATTGGGCCAAATCGAAAACATATGGATCATGGAGCATTAAGGATTTTGGATTGTAGCTATTGGATACAAGATGAATTCGACGATTTAATGGAGCCCCATGGCTCAAGTCCTAAGTCAAAATAGGGCTTATTGTAGTCATGTATACGAGTTGTTTGTAATTAATGGGAAGTTTAGAGCGTTTGTCTAGTAAGTGTTGGAGTGAGCGGGAACATCGAGCTGTTTCTTATTGTTTCAGTCTGGTATGAGGATTCCAAGTGAGACGTTTGTCCAGGTGGAGTCTTAGGTAACGTATTTGTTCAGGTTATAGGTTTACGGCGAAGGGTAAAAGTGATCTGGTGGGATTTATTAGAACTTATTTTAAGCCTCCAGTTTCGACAGTATTCTTCGAGGTTTGAGGTTTGGATGCAATCGATGGATCGTTATTAACTGAAAGGATACATGTGTCATCGGCATACGTAGTGATGACAGTGTTAGGATGGGTTGGGATATCAGCTGTATAAACTCTGTAAAGGATATGACCGAGGATAATAGCTTGAGGAACACCAGCAGATTGAGAAAAGAAGGATGAATAGGCATTGTTGTGATTTACTTTGAAGTGTATCTCAGTAAGGTAGGATCATATGATGATAAAGTATGTAGGGTTATTAATCTTTAAATTTTCGAATGGAAAGATTACAATATTTGTTAGTACATCTTCAGGGCTCGACTCCTTCCGTTCAATATCAGTCCAGGATCACGTAGAAAGTTCTTTGAGGATTTCGGTTCTCGACGATATTAAATAATGCGCCCTAGCTCGCTTAAGTGCACATGTTGTGATTTATCATGATTTAATCAAATTTCTCAAAGTGAGT